GCCTGTGATGTAATCTTCATAGACGCTGACCGTCAACCTAGAGCAGTAGTCACGTGGTGGGATTACGGGCACAAAGGAGAAATTAAGTTTTATGACATCACAACGGGCAGCTTGTTTAAGGCACTAGCCATGGCTTAAGGACACAAATGAACGAAAAATGTTAGTGGATAGTCTTTATGTACACTGACCACTTACACGTGAACAGGTGTTAAAAGATAAAAAAAAATATTGAGATTTCAACAATGTTTGGAGACAGGATTTCTCTTTTCAAAAAACATTGTTGTGACAACGTTTAAACGGCAATTTTAAACTTTCCCACTCGAGTGTGACAACTTTGACAACACTACTCCCCTTTATATCAGCTTGATAGAGAGTTACGTGTGCGTACTTGGGGGAGGGTGGGGTGAAGTCAAGAAAATCTGACTGCGTTGACTTGGTGCAAGATGGACGAGTCTTGTGAGCAAAAGCAGTGGAATTCCTCAGCTACCAAAATGGTTATTTAAAATACAAGAACATAATATATAAAAAAACAATTGAAAACCCCGATATAACCCTCAAAAGCTACAGATTCAGAAAAAAAATATTATAATTCCATTGTCTCTGGCCATTTTCTTGAGGAGATTGTTTTTCCACATGGTTCGCATTTTTAGATTAAAAAAAAATGGATACTCAAATCATGGAAATATTTACACCCTATTTTCTTATCTCCATACACGTTGTTGCAATTCTAACCATGTAATGCACCCTCCCCCAGAAGCACGGAAGAAAATAAAATTACTGACTTGAAAATATAAAAATACAAAATACGTAAATAAAAAGTTTGAATGATCACGGACAACCTTAATGTAAAAAAAAAAAAGGGAAGAAAAAAATGCAAGGAATATGGAATAGGACAGGCTGAAAAACAGAAACGACTTTTGTGATAAGCTTGCAAAATTTTGCAAAGTCAGCGGGATTGTTATTACAAACACCTATTTTAACAGCAAATCAAAAGGAGTTACAGATGGCTGTCACCTGGCACGACCAGACACATACAACAGAATGAAGAACCTCAGAAATGATCTCAAGAAAAGCTAAACCACGTGTGGACTGTGATACCAGTGGCCGAGTCCGTACGGAGTTCCGACTCGTGAATAATGTCAAAAAAGTGCGATGATAGGCTGATATTTCCAGCAAACAGCATAGATAGAATTACGGTACGTCTAAAAAATCACTACACCCGCACACCAGGAGGAGAGAGAGAGAGAGAGAGAGAGAGAGAGAGAGAGCAAGGGGGAGGGAAAGAGAGACAAAGACAGAGAAAAGGAGGGAGAGGGAGATTGAGAGAGAGACAGAGAGAGAGAGAGAGAGAGAGAGAGAGAGAGAGAGAGACAAAGAGAGAGACAGAGACAGAATGAGAGGGGGGATTGCTGGGAGGGAGGGCAACAGGGAGAGAGAGAGAGAGAGAGAGAGAGAGAGAGAGAGAGAGAGAGAGAGAGAGAGAGAGAGAGAGAGAGAGAGAGAGAGAGAGAGAGAGAGAGAGAGTTTGTGTAATTGAATAAAGGACTTGTTATCATCATCATCCGGTGCCTTGCCGACTAGCGTGGGCGATCATGGACATCCATTTCACTCTGTCTTGTGTTGCAGCAATAAATGACATGTACAGGGTGGTTAAAAAAAATAATTAAAAAAAAACTTTCTTTCTTTCTGAATGTCTCGCTCAAAAATTTGTACTAGAATTTTGTAATTTTGTAACTTTTCAGAAATTCAAGTAGTTCTCACGGCTCGTGGTCAGATTACACAACCGCCGGTAGCCTCAAGGGGGTAGCGTCTGGGTGTCCAGTCATCCATTAAGCCTGTGATGTAATCTTCATAGACGCTGACCGTCAACCTAGAGCAGTAGTCACGTGGTGGGATTACGGGCACAAAAAAGAAATTAAGTTTTATGACATCACAACGGGCAGCTTGTTTAAGGCACCAGCCATGGCTTAAGGACACAAATGAACGAAAAATGTTAGTGGATAGTCTTTATGTACACTGACCACTTACACGTGAACAGGTGTTAAAAGATAAAAAAATATTGAGATTTCAACAATGTTTGGAGACAGGATTTCTCTTTTCAAAAAACATTGTTGTGACAACGTTTAAACGACAACTTTAAATTTTCCCACTCGAGTGTGACAACTTTGACAACACTACTCCCCTTTATATCAGCTTGATAGAGAGTTACGTGTGCGTACTTGGGGGAGGGGGGGTGAAGTCAAGAAAATCTGACTGCGTTGACTTGGTGAAAGATGGACGAGTCTTGTGAGCAAAAGCAGTGGAATTCCTCAGCTACCAAAATGGTTATTTAAAATACAAGAACATAATATATCAAAAACAATTGAAAACCCCGATATTACCCGCAAAAGCTACAGATTCAGAAAGAAAAAAAAATAATCCTATTGTCTTTGGCCATTTTCTTGAGGAGATTGTTTTTCCACATGGTGCGCATTTTTAGATTTAAAAAAAAAATGGATACTCAAATCATGGAAATATTTACACCCTATTTTCTTATCTCCATACACGTTGTTGCAATTCTAACCATGTAATGCACCCTCCCCCAGAAGCACGGAAGAAAATAAAATTACTGACTTGAAAATATAAAAATACAAAATTCGCAAATAAAAAGTTTGAATGATCACGGACAACCTTAATGCCAAAAAAAAATGGAAGACAAAAAAGGCAAGGAATATGGAATAGGACGGGCTGAAAAACAGATACGACTGTTGTGATAAGCTTGCAAACTTTTGCAAAGTCAGCGGGATTGTTATTACAAACACCTCTTTTAACAGCAAATCAAAAGGAGTTACAGATTGCTGTCACCTGGGGCGACCAGAATGAAGAAACTCAGAAAAGATCTCAAGAAAAGCTAAACCACGTGTGGACTGTGATACCAGTGGCCGAGTTCGTACGGAGTTTCCACTCGTGAATAATGTCAAAAAAGTGCGATGATAGGCTGATATTTCCGGCAAACAGCAGAGATAAAATTACGGAACGTCTAAAAATCACCACAGACAGACAGACAGACAGACAGACAGACAGACAGACAGACAGACAGACAGACAGAGATTGAGAGAGAGAGGCAGGAGTTGGGAGGGAGTGAACGAGAGACAGAGAGAGAGAAAGAGAAGGAGAGAGAGGGAGAGGGGATAGAGAGAGACAGAGACAGAGACAGAGGGGTGAGGGCTATGAGGGAGGGCAAGAGAGAGAGAGACAGAGATATATATAGATAGAGAGACAGAGAGAGAGAGAGAGAGAGAGAGAGAGAGAGAGAGAGAAAGAGAGAGAGGGGGAGAGAGAGAGAGAGAAATTGAATAAAGGACTTGTCATCATCATCATCATCTGGTGCCTTGCCGACTGGTGTGAGCGATCATAGAACTCCATTTCACTCTGTTTTGCGTTGCAGCAATAAAGTTCAAGTACAAGGTGGTAAAAACACCCCCCACACTTTTAAATCTTTCTCTCTGAATGTCTCGCCCAAAAATTTGTACTAGAATGTTGTAATTTAGACCAGTTATAATTCTTTCAAAAGAAATTAAATGAATAAATATTCATAAAGAATAATGACTTTTTATTTCTAAAAACACAATAAATGGGCATATACCTCCCAAAGCTTAATGGGCCATGGTGTTTTAATTTTGCTGCTTGTTGGTTTTCTGCCTAAAGAGTGAACAACCTTATTAGTACGTAACCCGTCCCTTCGACATGGACAACGCTGTCGACTTTCCAACTCGACTACCACGTTTGATCTAGATCCACAATGAAAAAGAAAAGAAAAGGACGCGACTCAAACGATACGGTTGCGCACAATGGACCGCCGGGAATTACAACTACATGTATGTCCATGTATTGTTAGGCCGACCAAATATAACATGGGGTGCCCATTGGCACGAATAGGTCAGGTCTAGTCGGTTTTCTAGCCAGATTGAGGGCGCCATGCGGCTATCGCGGCACGAACCGATCGCCTGACTTGTCGCCTCAAAAACAAACGCATTTGTTTTCAGGACACAAGTCGGGCATTAGACCCAACCCGACCCGATCCCAACTGCAATGGGCACCTGGTATAAGCAGGGCCGCCGGGCACAAAACTCCTATACGCCTCTGTGGCGTTTACAAGTTTGTATGCCCGACGGCCAGAGTTGGAGAATAGGAGGGTTGTTCTTTTGTGCGATGAAATACATTTGATGATATAATGATCGGAAACGTGTGTGCTTTGTCCAGCTTTGTGTAGCATCTGATTGTAGACTTGATCTGCTTGGGACAGCGTCACTGGTACAGTAGTAATTGACTTTTTGTTATCATACACAGGACAGTTCTTATTACTAATATTACTACATATATTTAACGGGTTCAGTGCACGTCGATGTTTTGTGTGGGGGTGTAGAAAGTACGAGTAAAGTACTGTACTGGAGGCCAGGACCAGCGGTTTATTGCTTCTCACTTTCAGTTTGTTTTCTAGCTTAGACTCAAATAGTTTGTTTCTTTTTCTGTGCCGATCAAGTGAGTTTCTATTAATCTCAGTAACTTCCATCTTACATTATTCATAATATTGTTTCTTGACGCTACCGCATATTTTAGCTCTTTCAGTTATTACAATGTTTACTGTGGTGTGTGTGTGTGTGTGTGTGTGTGTGTGTGTGTATACTTTCCTCATAAGATCTGGACACCCCCAAAATCTAGGTTAGCCCCCTTGACCTTTAAAGTTTTTCTCCGAAAAAACAACAAAACAAAACAAAAACCAGCAAGCACACAAGTAGTAATACATGTATCCGTGTCGTACCAGACGCCAAAGAAAAGAAACACTATGGGCTGTTGACGGGCGTAGCTTGTTTGTTCCTCTTCTGTGCAAACTTCCACATGATCTATCTTCCATATCTCTCTCCTCCTTCTTTTATTTGCCTGTTACTCTCTGGTAACACTTCTAATCTTCTCAACTTATATGACGTATTTGTTTTGTTAGCGCCGTGAAACTCCTACTA